CTCATGATTAGGCAAGATTCCTCCGGGAAAAGCTCTCAGACACAAGGAAACTGCTTTTATCAAAATCACTTTAAATTCTGCCTTAGCTTCCACTTCACTTGATCTATTAATAGACACGGCTGGGATCTTAAGTTGAAACATATGATTTCTTGCTCTCAGACCTAACGGCAGCGAGAGGATTTTCAAGGGCTTCAGCACTCTCAGCTTTGGTGCATCTGCCTCTGATGGCATCAAAGTGCACACACCTTCCTCTCCAGCCAGATGCATCTGCCTCTGACGGCATCTGAAGTGTATACACCTTTCTCTTCAGCCAGATGTGAAGTGCACACACCTTCCGCTCCAGCCAGATGTATCTGTCTCTGATGGCATCAAAGTGCACACAGCTTCCTCTCCAGCCAGATGCATCTGCCTCTTACAGCATCCGAAGTGCACACACCTTCTTCTCCAGTCAGATGCATCTGTCTCTGATGGCATCCGAAGTGCACATACCTTCCGCTCCAGCCAGATGCATCTGTCTCTTATGGCAGCCAACGTGTACACACCTTTCTCTTCAGCCAGATGTGAAGTGCACACACCTTCCTCTCCAGTCAGATGCATCTGTGTCTTAAGGCATCTAAAGTGCACACACCTTCTTCTCCAGCCAGATGCTAGTTTATTTAGGCCCGCGGGCCTGGGTGTGGGACAATGGTTTATATTCTGTCAATTATATTTTAAATAAATGCTGATTGGCCAGTAGCCAGGCAGGAAGTATAGGCTGGACAACCAGACAGGAAGTAGAGGTGGGTCAATGAGAACAGGAGAATTCTGGGAAGAAGAAAATTGCTCTGCAGCTTGACCCAGCTACAGGAGAAGCAAGATGTGACTGCCTAGCTAAAAAAGGTACTGAGCTATGTGGCTAACATAGACAAGAATAATGAGCTAATATAAGTTATAAGAGTTAATAAGAAGCCTGAGCTAGTGGGCCAATCAGTTTATACCTAATGTAGACTCTGTGTGATTTCTTTGGGACTTAAAGACTGTGGGAACCGGGCAGGCTCAGAAAACCAGGTCAACAGGCCTCTGCTTGGTCATTCCAGCAGCTCCTATGGAAGAGGGCACCACAGTCTCCCAGAGGTAGGAACTGAATTCTCTTTGAGTCATAAGGGTAACAATAAAAAGTGTGCACTGTGTGAATGTCTTCAGAACACCACTTAACTCCCAAAGCCCCAGGGGAAAAAAAGCACTTCTTCCTTTAAGGAAGAATGCAAGACTTAGAGAGGTTGGCACACGTCCAAACTCATTTGGCCATAATAGCACAAACTGGATTTCAGAACATATATATATTGTTCTTTGAGACAGGGTTTCTCTGTGCAGTCCTGAGTGTCCTGGAACTCTCATTGTAGACCAGGCTGGCCTCAAACTCAGTGAGATCCGCCTGCCTCTGCCTCCCATGTGCTGGGATTAAAGGCATTCACCACCACTGTCCAGCCAGAATCTATATTCTTAGTGACTATTCTTTCTAAAAATGAAATTCATGTACAATGGTTACTAGTAACTACCTAATGATTATAGTAAAAAACTAATAGATTAAGAGCAACAATTTCCCCAAACCCCACAAGAAGTTATAGCACTTGTATGGTGCTTATGTTGTGATAGGTTCATCCCACTACTACAGGTTGCTGTAGATTGCCCACGTGGGTGCTGGGAACCGAACTCTTGGTCTTCTGGCAGAGCAGTCAGTTCTCTTAACCATTAAGTCATCTCTCCAGTCCCTAAGTAATGTACTGACCTGAACTTATGTACCTGCTTTAAGCAGTGCTAGAAGGTAAGTACTATCCTCACTGTTCCTTACTCCTGAGTTACTCCTTACCCGATGCCCCTGCCTTCCTGTCCATTCTGTTTACTGGAAAACAGAGCCTTTGGGTTTTCCCCAAGTCTTTCTTCTGTTGACCCTGGAAACAGAAGTACCTTTGTTGCTGGTTTTAACTGAAGTGCCTATAGCCTTGTCCCATCCCTGGTGTTTCTAATTGCTTGCTTTGAGGTATAGACTGGGCACTTTAAGATGCTGCGAGCCCCCAAATGCACACTTGACCCTGAGAACCATTGTTTGTTCACATCTAGCATCTGAGAGTTCTTTGTTGGGTGCAACTGTGCTGTGCACTACAGCGTACTTATCAGAGGACCGGATGTCTACAGCTCCCTTTCCAGCTGTGTCAACCAAAAGATGCCTCTCAACTGGATGTGTTGTATTTGGGGAAGAGGAGCAGGATGGCCCCTGTTGAGAATTACTGGTCTAGGGACATTTCCAGTAGCCCAGACTGTGGGAAGTCTTTCAGAAAGGAACTGAGAAGGGTGGCTGCTGTTACACTTGCTTCTAAATGGCAAAGTATACAGAGATGCTAAGGAGGTCTGGCAGGAAATCCTCCTGTCACTGGAAGAAACTTAATCAGGGTGCTTTCTGTTCTTTGGAGTTTTTCATTCCAATCAAAAAGATGGTAAATTTTTTGAGGAACATCTTGGAAAATTAAGGAAATGACACAAATTTTCCTAACTGATCTGAGACACACAGAAGGAACCTGAAGAAAAAAAAGTTAATTAGTGTGAACAGTCTGGCCTGGTGAGATCTTGTCTCAGGCTGGCGGATCACTGCTCTAAGTGGAGAGATAAAGATCAATGTCCTTGGTGCTGAGTGCGTGGAGACCCAGGTCGCACATACATCTGGTCACCCAGCTAACAGGGTGACAAATGGGTCAGAGCTGAGGTGCTACGGGGCAGAGTAGGGTTGGAATGAGTGCACGGAGGGAAGGCCGGGCTTGTGGATAAACTACTTTAGTGGAAGATTGGGGGTGAAAGGGAAGAGATGGGGGTAAACAACAGGTGCAGTAGCGAGAAAGTTGCCCTGCGTGGAGCTTGATCCTTTTAGGAGTTGCAGAGAACCAGAGCTGAACACAAACCTCAGAGGTACAGGGCAAGAGAGCTTCCATCTTCATTCACAGATTCCCATTTGCTCTTGCCTGAGAGCTACGTCCAGGCTCAATTATTCCCCAGTACCTTCATGGGTTCTGACATCAGGACGAGGGGTGGGGACTGGCAGTTGAGAGCAGCCAGTGGGCCTGGAAGGTGATTGGCGTTGGGGCATAAGCTTCAGCTTCAGTTTTCATTTGAAAACATGTTTGAAAGTAGCTTTGCTTTGTAACTATGTTTAATAATTTTTATTTCTAATCATTTATTTTCTATCTTTTCCTTGTCCCTCCCCGCAAACAAGATTTCTCTGTGTAACCCTAGCTCTTCTGGAACTCTCACTGCAGACTAGGCTGACCTCAGATTCAGAGATCCGCCTGCCTCTGCCTCCTGATTGCTGGGATTAAAGGCACGTGCCACCAATACCCAGCAATGATGTTTAATTTTTAATAAAAATTCTGTTACATTTAAAAACTTTGGGAAAGTCTACCAAGCTACCCTTAAAGATACCTGTGCCTTATCTTATCTATTCGTTTGTTTATTTGAGACCACATCAAGACAACTTCCACAGACTGAGAAGCCATCCCAGGCCTGCTCTCAGCTCCTCTTTCCACAAGTCCTTTCAGGTCCATTCAAAACCAGACATTGTCCTTTCCCTGTTTCTCATTAATTCAGGACAATGCCAGGTTTTTGGTGGTGGCTGTTGCTTTTTGTTTCTTCTCTTCCTTTTATGAACTCACTTCCAATTCTTTCAGTTTCTTAAATCTAGATGGTGTTGGCATGTTTCTCCTTCTCATTCCACCCTGACTCCCAGTGACTTCCTCCTTCCTCTTCTTTAGGTATGGCTCAATGTCCCTTCTTCACTGGGACCTAACTTTCTACGGAAAGGCTTTCTCATTCATTGTTATACTCCAATCTATTTGTCTTCATCTGGCATGCTTGTAACGGTTTTGTATGCTCATTTTATCTATTTCCCTCACTAGAATATAACCTTTGTACAAGCCAGGATCATATCTATATCCTTGATATCTCTAGTAGGGTTGCCAGATTTAGCAAAGAGAAATATTGGTTTCCCAGTTAATCATGAAGATAAGATGAGTCATAAATAATGTTTTAGTATAAGGCTGTCCAAGAACTGAATAGGACATAGTTATTACTAAAATTATTTATGGTTCGTCAGAAATTCAAGTTTAACTGGGTATCTTGTATTTCATCTGGCAGTCTAGTCCCTAGGTCCTAACATATGACTCTCACCACGTATTATTAGAGGAAAACTTGATAGCAGCGAATTGAAGTTGCTGCCATGGCAACAAAGCAGAACGGATATGCTAACCTTGTAAAATCAAAGCCAGGGCAGCTATCACTTTCCATATTTCTGTTCTGACTTGCATATCTTTGCACCCCAGGAGAACATAGTCAACCCACTTCCAAAGTCTCGGGCAGCCCCGAACTGGGAGGGATGCTGACCTTATAGAGGAAGCTTTATAAGTTGTGTTCAGCTCGCCAGACAATCATGCCTCATTTTCAATGTGACCTTCTCCTTGGGTATCAGTTTCTGTTGGCTCTTTCTCCCAAGACTGATTCTTCCATTTCAACCCTTCATCCATAGCACCCTGCTCTAAGGTTGGTAAGAGGGATTTCACACAGGATTTCCAAATGGATTGACAACCAATAAATAGAAGGATAACAGACTGTCTCCACTCAAGGCGGCCAACAAGTTTCCCAGGCCAGAGGACCTTTCCTGCAAAGACCAGAGAAACCCAGATCCGGTCATCCCCAGACAGCTATTCCCCTAAAGTGAATGGATTACTGCTTCTTCTTGGCGGCTGCTGAACTTCTTGTTTAATTTCATTGTACATGACTACCAGAATTAGATGCCTGCTGTCCTGGGTATCCACACAGTTTAGACGAATGCCTGGTTCATAGTCTCTACAGATTCCTGTACTTGTGATCTCAGAGTAAAGCCCATGGGAAGTGCTCCCACCCCGAGTTCCCAGAATGGGCTTCTCTGGCCCACCAGTCCTGGATATCAAGACCGGAAAATGATCATTTGCAACATCCACAGAACACTTATTTACTGAGGAACAGAAAGCCACAGACATTTCCAAATGCGTTTCCACAAACACACTGAATTCCTTGACTGTGAAAAGTGAGTCCCTGTGTCCCCAGAGGGTGTGAGAGTCTCAAGGGAACCATGTGAATCCATTCTCAATTACAGGAGCAGCTTCGGTCTCACTTAGGTCCTGTGGGGTCCCTGGAATTGGGGGTGAAGTGGCTCCTGAGAGGCTCCCAGCACTTGTAGTAGTTCTCATCCAGACAGTTGCAGGTCTTGAGTCCCCACTTGGTGACTGCCAAGCTCAATGAAGACTCAAACATAAATGCCTGTAGGAAATAAGATGAAGACGAGAAGAAGCGGTAAGGGGATAATAGAGTGTGCTTAGTTACATACGTAGAGAAGGTATGGGTGGACAAAACATCGGACTAATTGTGGTCACATGTACTGCCATGACGAGGGAAAACATGAGCCCAGGGTTCTGGATCTGGCTTACCATGTATAAGCTGATGAAGATGTCTACAAGGTTTCTATCTACTTACGGCCCTGAGTGTGGGACTAGCCTTGCTCATAGCAGTCTGGAGGCAAAGTTTTTATTTCCAAGGGCAGATGTGGGATAATCCTGGGGTCTTCTCGGGGACCATCACTCGTGGTGAGGTCCTGATATGTAGGGCATACTTTTACTTCACAAAGGAAGGAGCAAAGCCCCAAGCTGAGAGGTGTCTTGTCTAAGGGGGTAACTGATGGTAGAACTGAGGTCTTAACCTGTTTCTTCAGGAGCCTGACCAAGAGTTCAGCTCAGAAAAAGGAAAAAGAAGAAAGGCGAGCAAATGAAGATGGTCCATAAAGGGACTGATGCTGCACACCCCACTGTGTTCTGGATGTTTCTGGTCACAGTAGAAAGAAGCTGAAAAATATTCTATATAGACTAGACATTTCAGCTTTTTATCAGTGGTTGATTTTTCTATCTATAGTGTCTTTTGTAAAATAATGTGAACAACCCAAACCTTACAATTATTTTTGCTTTCATTAAGAAATTAAAAACCCTCTAGACAGGCCAAAGGAAAATTATATTATTCTTTTGTGATAGCACTCAGAACACCTGCATTAATGTTTGGGTCTCACACACATGAATTTCTCCTAGTCTGTGTCAGTGGAGATATGTGTCTTTGCCTGAACTCTATACCTTTGAATGCGAAGGTTTAAAGCCCTATTCACACATGAGGGTAAACGTTACAGCCATTATTATTGTGGTCTTCTGCTGACTTCTTAAGAGTTTTGCTGTTAGGCTGAGCCGTGAAAGATCATATAAACCACTTCCCACTGGAATAAGGCTATGGCAGACTGGTCTGTGTCTGCGTTATGTGATGGGAAATGGTAAGGGAGACATAAAGTTAGGTCTCGGTAAAGTTTCTATTTATGTGTATTTATCTCTGGGGGTGAGGATGCACACATGCATACAAGTGCCTGTGGAGGGTGCCCTCCAGATATTCTGGACCTCCAGAAACCCAGCCCCTTACCATCCTAATCCCCTTCCTAAATCAGCCCCATCTCACTGGCAATCCAGGTCTTAGACTCAAATTCTTACTGCATGTGAAAAACAGCCCTGTACCTCACTATTGTGGAATATTGCTCTGAGTAGCTTGGCTTTCAAAAGCCCATTTGGAGGCCCAAGGGTTATTGACGAACACTAGGGTGGATTGTGTACGCTCAAGGGCTGTCAGAGGCAAAAGCCTGAGATCATTGAACTGTCTCACAGAGCTGTAGGTTCCTATAGATGCTCCCAGGAGGCTCACGAAAGGGGTAACGGAGCCTAGGCTAAGGAGAAAGGAAGAGCTCTGTGTCCCTTTTTTTTTTTTTTTAAATAAAAGAAGCCCTGGCCTTGGACTTGGGCCTCAAAGCAAACCCCACAGGACAGGTGGACAGTTAATGCTGGGGAGTGTACAAGCCAGGCTTTTTGTCAAGCAGGTTTGTGCTGTGGGTGTTAAACCATGTAGCATTGAAGGCATTTGTTTTAAAATGTGCAGCAAGTCTGCATGCATATGGCTTCGCATAAAATTATTTCTTGTGGTCCAGTAAGTCTGTTTCCAAGAATTCAAAAAATAAATAAGTAAAATAAAATCAAGTACCGCGGCCAACTGCAATTGTGTTCCACCTCAGTGTTTACAGCTGGACACAAGAGGAATACAAAACAGGCTTTAAATCCCATCAGCTTCACCCCATGCCAAAGGAGAACAAAGAAAATGAAAAAAGCAACTGAGAATTGCTGTTGCCAGCCCTGACTATAGAGAGGCAAAAAACTGCTTGACCCTCCTTTGCTTTCAGGACTGGCTGAAGGTGACATTTGCCTCCTGTGCTACTGTGGTCCTCGGAATTGCTTCCCATACAGAATACTCTGGGACAGGGCTGCATTTAGATATGGCAAGACCCTTCAAAGAGTATTAATAATGCTTCCTTGTATTTAAAGTTACTGAACACTCCATAGGGCATTGTAACTTGCAGATGTCCTCTGGGTTGGATACTATATTCACTCTACAGATGGGAAAATGAAGCGTGGCAAGCTTACGTAGGAATTAAGAGCTGGGATTTGAGCTGGTCTGACTCCCTGTCAAACTCCTACGCTATCACACCAGAAGTGTAGGGTGCATATGGCTGTATGTATGTGGACTTTTAACGTGTACACATAGACACAAAACCCTTCCCCACTCCACCTCTGTGACTTCAGAGAGACGGGAAAGAGCTGCTATCCTCTACTGAATTTTCAGAGCCCAGAAGCAGGCCCCTGACGCATCAGGCTGCTTACCATGGTACCATCAGCAATCCGCTCGGGTGCCAACTGGGCCTTGCTGGCCTTCTCAAAGCAGTCTGCATCCGGACCGTGAGGGGTCATGGCACTGTGCAGGCTGCCTCCCCCTGGCAGGAATCCACCTTGCTTTGCCTCATAGTGACCTTTGATGAGTCCCATGAATTCACTCATGCAGTTCCCTGGGAAGGTTGAAGCAGTGGTATTTTTATTATCCAAGACTAGACCCATGAAAATATAGTATTTCTTCTAGATTTTCAGGTCTCATATATCAAATTCACCAAAGAATTCCACAATAGTACATGGTTTCACCACATTTCTGGTTCCCAGTCTAGATCAAAGTGGTGTGCGTGTGTGTGTGTGTGTGTGTGTGTGTGTGAAGATAATGACAGAGGACAAGCTCTAGATCTACACTCCATTATCAAGTGATAAGCTATGAGGCAGATGGTTGGTTTCTGTAAAACACCGATTCATCATAACAGATAACCGAATCTGAACAGGATAGAATCTCATTCTTCTGTTCTCTTGGACCCCGAAATCTTAACTTTGGAAATAATCCTTCTTTCTACTCCAGACAGAGGGCGTTTCTATGTGATTCCTTGTGGATTACTCCCTGGGCTCTGCTTTCATGCCTCCAGTGAATGGAAGGCTCCATGGAGCAACCTATCTTGTTATTGAATAGCTCTCAGGGTTTGTTATTCTTTTATAATTAAGTGGACATTTTTACATCGCCTTCAGGAGTCACATGGAATTTGACAAAGCCCACTCTGCTTCCTTTCTTTTGGTATTTTATTTTTGGTGAAATAAAACTCTTTCTCAACATGACAAAAACCTAAGGGCAAGAATGAAGGAAATCTGACACCTGGGTAAATGCAGATACCTTCCCACCTCTGCCAACCCAGTCATCTGTCTGCTTCCCCCGCCACTCGCTTGCCCCTCCACCCGTACTCAGAATATAGAGATACTAGTCTAACTACTGTGCGACACAGAGGGTTAAGAAACGACCTGCTCAGAGCTGCTCCTTGTCTGTCCTGTGGAAAGACAGAAGGTGCTGGGCACGTGACATTGAAGTGACAGTCCTGGCAAAGGCAAACACTCGACAGGCCAGGGCCATGTCCTTCTTCTCTCCATGTGAAATATAAGCAGGTACTACAACACTTCCGCAATCAACTGAGCAGTCACTCATCCCCTGCCACCTACACAACACACTGCTCCAGGACCTAACAGTAAACAGGTAGCAACCCTGAGGAGAAAGGGAGGCCTAGATTATAGCCCCACACACCTCTCCGAAAGCAGGTAAAGGAAGAGAAGCAAATGGAAGCCCTAAGAAACTGAATTGTCTTTTCTCTTGAGGGGAGGGGGTTTCAAGACAGGGTTTCTCTGTAACTTTGGAGCCTGTCCTGAAACTAGCTCTTGTAGACAAGGCTGGCCTCGAACTCACAAAGATCCGCCTGCCTCTGCCTCCCGAGCGCTGGGATTAAAGGTGTGTGCCGCCACTGTCCAGCTAAGACACTGTGATCTAAGTTCTGCACGGAGCTTCAGTCTGCAGTCACATTCCTCGCTGCACTACCTGTCGCCAGGGTCACCTTCACAGTTTAATTTTAAGAAGAGAGCAGGACAGAATTTGGTTTTGATCTGAATGTGAATTTAGTTAGCAGTGAGTTGGGTGAAGATATTCTACATGGCTTTTGATGTTTCAAAGGACAGTGGGAGGGTAGACCTTGCCTTCCTGATTAAAGCTGGCTCTAGTTGACTCAGGTGCATTAACATGACTAGAGGCAATATTTCTACAGAAATAATTCTCCAATTCCCCTTAAAGTCACATCAAAGTAACAAAGATTTGGAGTATCGCTACAGCGATATTTTCATATCTCTGATAAAACTAATTTTTAACTTCGGGTTCTGTGTGGGTTTTTTTTTTTCCAAACCAACTCAGGGCACCACATATTTATGAGATGGTATTTGGGGGAAAGTCACTAAAAACATCACAGGAGGCGTGTAGCAAGGACCACTGTTTCAGGCGCTCTGCAGTACAAAGGAGATTAAGGAGTGAACCGGGAGCCCGGAGCACAGCGGTGCAGTTTTTGTCCCTCTACCTAGGAGGGGAGACAAGCCCTCCACCACTGCTCTCAACAGAGAGACTGTAGACTCTGGGTCAGAAGCCTCTGGCGTCCTAGTTCAAAGGGCAGCCTCTGAGTTTCTACTTTAAAGCCAACGAATTAAACTCTGGAAGAGAGAAGCTTGAGAATAAACTTGAAAGGGAAAGGGTACTCTTGATGGTGACCTTGAAGGGGCACGCTGGCTGTCATCTGACTGTGAAGTGGCCCTCTTTCATCCCACAGCCTTACTTCCCCACCCTCCCAAATGCTTAAACTGCCTATTCAGTGCATCTGTCCACCATGAAGCTCTGGTACCTGGGAACTGTTACAGAGAGGAACTTATATACACAGAAAGTTCTGTAGTTAACTATGGAAAATAATTTGTTTTCTAGACTGTTCCGGCTGAAAATGCACATTGCAGCCTTTCCAGCCCTCTATGTTCAAAAAAAAAAAATGTAAAATCCTCCTGAAAGCAGAATTGTACCTTGACCTGTTTAATTTGCACAATTAAAAATGTCAACCTCATTAAACACAGCTGCAGTGTACTTATTCACTCTTGGTAACGCATTTGCTGACTGCATAAATATTTCTAGACGTGGATTATGCACAGGCCACAGCACTAGCTGCATCAATTAGCAGTCACAGGCGTCTGCTTTGGCATCAGACAATCTGCAATTTAATCCCGACCCTGCCACTCAACTAACCGTGAGACCTGGAGAATGGCTTCCTTCCCCGTGTTGGTCTCATCTTCAGAAAAACAGAGAGGGAGATAATTGATATTATCTATTTCTTGCTGCTGTTATAACCCAAATAAGTTAATACTTTAAAAAAAAACTTATAGTAGGGCTTTACAAACTTGCCAACAATAATTAGTCTTAATAATACAAATAAAATAAAACTGAATTTGTTCGACTCTCCTTCTTTGTGCTGCTGACTGGTGGGGAGGGGAAGAAAAGCTATCAAATGGTCTTACCCATTAGTGAATTCTACCAATACTACCAGCTCTGCACCATCAACCTGCCGGTGAAATGTGCCTATACATGCAGTAGTGGCATGACTGTCATGGGGTAACCAACTGCTCTCTAGATTTGAGGCCTGTGTCATAAATGATCCTTTGCTTTGTTCTGGAAGTCTGGTCAAAACCCAAGCCTTGGGAAGTCATAGGCCCTGCAAAGAAAATTACTATTGATATTTAACTACATAGGACTGGTTTGATGGGATGATTGGTATTTGTGAGTTATGTGGTGGCATAACATCAAATTTCCTTCTAAATATCCATGCTTATTTCTCAGACAGAAACTGCCCTCAACCCTACTCAAAGAAGCTTCTGTTTGCAGTGGACACTGGTGAACTCAGAGTCTCATTGGCTGCTCAAGATGCTGAAAATATGTGGAAAATGGGAGCTGAAGCCTAGAGCAAGTGTTTATACTATCCCTTCTAGGGCTCAAGGGATGCTGTGGGAAGACAGAGTGAAGTAACATAAAAACTGGAAGATAGGAGGTAGAGTAGCAAGCACCATCACCTACATACAGAACGGCAATGTAGTTAGGAACTTATAGGAGCTTCAGTTACTTGGTAAGGCTCACACATGGCAGGCATGCTTAATGGTCAGTCATAGATCAGGGAGAGGCCCTCTCAATGGTCAGTCATGGATTCTGGGGGGCTAATGGGAAATGGTCCCTTACTGCTGAACTATAGGCCACTCATGGAGGGTGGACAGGTAAAGGGAGTCAACTTCATGATTCCATGATGGTCAGCCATTGTCTTCAGTTTTGTACTAACTGGTCTACCCCTAGGCTCCAATGAGTAGTTTCAATTCCAAGGTCATAGAGAAGGTCTTGGTCAAACTCAGGCGGATACAAATTAAACAAAAAGAATGGAATGTGGGCCGGGCAGGCAGTGGTGGTGCAGGCCTTTAATCCCAGCACTCGGGAGGAAGAGACAGGTGGATCTTTGGATCTTCGGATCTTCGTGAGTTCTGAGGCCAGCCTGGTCTACAAGAGTCAGTTCCAGGGCAGCCAGGGCTGTTACACAGAGAAACCCTGTCTTGAAAAACCAAAAAAATAAAAACCAGAATGGACTGTGGGATAGAAATCAATAGAAATGAGGGGGTGTATGTGGAATGGGGGAGATGAGAAAAGGTGGGGGTGAGGGCAGTCAGAACGCGTTATAAACACATATGGAATTGTCAAAGAAAACAATTCATTAACAACACCCCCATCTTCCAGAATAGTTGATCTCTCAGATTAGATCGCTGTCTGCTTTGTTTTGTCAAAATAATTAAATAAGGAACATTTTACTTGTTCTCGGATCAGATTTAAGTAGTTTCCCCCAAACAAACGACTCCCCACCCTTTATAAAGATCTGAAACGCACGGTCTCGCTTCACAGGCTTCCAACCTTTCTGTCTCTCTTTCGAGCCAGAGAAACAGGAGCCAAGTTCATTCCACGAATCCCCCTGCAGGTACTGTGAGGTTGGAGCCTCATAAAGCCCAATAGTAGCCTGAGAGACCGGATTCTAAACTCAAGGCACGTCAGGGGGTCCAAGAACAACCTGGCCATCATCCCCAGTGCCTCATTACTTTGCTGTTCCTAGTGTCCAGCGGTATTCTGGTGAAACAGAGACTTACTGTGGTAATAAGGAGGCCGGAAGGTCTTATTTGCCACCCCCCACCGAGGTGGGAAGATGACAAAGTCAGCAATGGCCACTCCAGGTCGGGTAGACTTGGCCGTGAGCACTGTGAAAATGGAAGGATCCTGTGGACACATAAGAGGAGGCTGAAGGTAAGACGCCTGGGAGGGGAGGGAGCCATGACAGCTTGTCACCTGCACAGGAAGGTGTTTTCAAGTGACACTTTCTGATTAAGCGACCCAGGTCAGACTTAGATATTTGGGCTCTGATTGAATTGCAGTAATCATTCATGTGGCTGTCTTCTTGCTGTGATGGAAGCAAAATGCATTCACGCCAGGTAAGAGGACCGGCAGCTGCGGTCTTAGCCTGCTGAGTCTACATTAGGGGCGCCCTATTTCCCTCCAGCACGGACAGCGAGAGTACCTGACTTCTTCTACCCAATAGCCTGAATGGCAGGGAGCTTGGTGCTGCTCAGAGAAGGTCGGGGAACAAACAAAACAGCATCCACATCCTAGCGTGGAGGTCAGGATGCTTCTTGGGGAGGCAGGGCATCAGAGTCCAGATGGTGTCCACAGGCGGGAAAAACCTGAGAACTGGTTAAAATTAATTAATTTTCTGACTCTTGATTGACTCTCAGAAGGACGAGATTACACTTTTTCCAAGAACTCTAGACTCCTAGGTGGAAAGACCAAGATTCAATGTGATCAATATCTGTGTCATTATCAGAAGCGGTGCTGACACCGGCAGATTCAGAGATTGAGAATCTGTTCTCTACTCCTTTAACTTTAACTGGGGAAAGGAGAACGTGGCTATTCCTTTTTCAAAATAACTCTCTGTTGAATTTGCTCTTTGATGGCTTCATGCATTTATGCAGTGCATTCTGGTGACCGCCAGCCCTCTCCTGGTCGCGCCCCCCCTTCCTCATCTCCCGTGACAGGATCAGGGAAAGCTTCAAAGGCCTATGACTTGAGCTAACTCTTTAAAAGTGAACAAAAGAAAGGTAGGGGAGAAAAGAGGAACAGAGGGAGGGATTTTTATCGGGGAAGATAGAAAAGATATCAAGGTCCTCTGAACTTTTGTAAAGCAGGGAAAGGTTAAAGCCAGAGGGATGCGGTGAAGGATGAAGGAGTAGTGAGATGCGGTACTAGAGAAAGGAGCCCAGGGCCGGATGGTGAGGAGTACCAAATGCCATGCTTTCAAGCTCAGACTTAATCCTAAATCGTGGGGAGCCTGCAAAGGTTTTCCACAGCGGCGATCAGACTGAATTTAGGGGAGATAAGCACCCCAGCAGTACAGAGAAGAGTGAATCTCTGTAAATTCAAATGAAAACCAAAACAAAACACAAAACCATGGACAAAACAGAAAGTCGACCCAATTCTTCTTGCTGGAAGTTACCGTTTTTTCCTTTCATTTGTCAGGGGAAATGGTCGGAAACTATTAAAAGAAAGACAAGGTAGGAAGGCTCAAATAGAGCTTTACCAAAGTCTCAGGGTACTTCTTCACAATGCTTTGGGCTTGGAATCTTGATTTTCTTTTTCCCCTTTGGTTTTATTAAGATTCACTGTTGTTCAGAAAGGTAGTCTGGGGCCCCTAGAGAGAAACTGAATTGGCTCAGAGTAATCCTTCTATCTCTGACTCTCTGGCTTCTGCCCCAATTATCCCTCAGCTTGTGGGTTATGTTAATCTATTATGAAGTACACCACAGAATGAGCTTCCCCTCAGGGTCACAGAACTAGTACTTTATCTGGGCTCTCGGGAGCCTGTACGGTAGACCAGGGACCTATCCTTGGCCCCCTAACTGACTAAAAAATATGACTAAATTCAAACATTGGGCTTTTTTTAAAAAAAAAAATTCAAGTGTTCAACCTTTGCGTAACTTTAGAAGAGGCCTCCCCTGCTCTTCATAGCCAACCACAGCCAGAAGCAGAGGCTAGGGAGCAGGGAAGCAGCCAGAGCAGAGTACACATCCCAGGTTTGCAAGGTTGCCAGGTCTGTAAACGATTCTCCCTCCTGCCTTCAGCATTAGCATTAGCAGGTTTTCCTTTACCCAAGCAGGAGAGTTGTGATTACACAGAGGCAAAGTAAATTAGGTTGAGTATTTCCTGGCTTCCTTGTTTGCCCTGGAATGTATTCCTTCACCAAAGGGCAGGTGCCCCTGTTGAGGCTGTGCAAGGATGACCTTGAGAACCTTAGCTCTGTGACTGTCCACGGGTATACTCTGGATCCCTCCCATTCAAGGGCTGTCCGGTCCCCAGGGTTCCTGCATGGCCCAGACTTACCGCATGGTCAAAGGCCACTGCATTGATCACCATGAAGTTCTCTAGGTTGTACTTGTAGGGCGTATAGTTTCCGTGCCAGGCCACAACATTGAACGGGGAGACACTCTAATCACAAAAAACCAGGAGAGCATGGTCTTAGGATGTAATATTTCCATAGCTGCAGACTTGCAGTACTTACCGACATCACTCTTTTTATTTGCTATTGTTCTAAATTTAACTAGACCATCCTTTGGGAGCATCGTAGCTCATAATCATTCTGCAGTTGCTTCGCACACCCTCTCCTAGGTCCTCACTTCGTCGTTAACCCCTTTTCCAGTTCAGAGGCTGCAGCTGTCAGACCCGTCGCGGGTACAGCCAAAGCCTAGCACACTCAAGCGGTACTTTTTTCCATTTTTAACTTAACTGTAGGCATCTGTAGATGCCAGCAGTTCTCAAACAATCTGGGCTTCCCTCTGTTTCCTGGTGCAGCAGGCACTTGCTGTGCTGTTTCTCCAGGATTTTGCTGTCTAAAGGAACTTCTCATAGACACAGTGTCTGCTGTTGAGCTCATGGAAGAAGACACCCTGAAAAGCCCCAGTCTACATGTTTGAGATTTCAGAATGACATTAACACCGTGCTCTGTTTCATCTGGAGTAGGAGATCACTTTGGGGCTATGGTATTATAATCTTCCTCATGGGTACTGTGTATCTAATCCAGAAGGACGATCTGATAAAGAATATTCTCAAGTTCAGGGTATATGAATGGTCAAAATACTGAGAATAAGAGATGCTCAGCCGTAAATGGGACATCTGTATCAATGCTCATCCAGCCAGACCAAGGCTCAAGGACCATCTTGAAAGAAGAAGAGGCAGAAATAATATAAGAGTTGGGAGATGGGAAGGAATATAGTGAAGTATTTATTGCCTTCTACACATGAATGGTTGCCAAACTAATAAACTCATAGCAGCAAGATGTGCATAAGAGCAACCTAGCCAAAATTCTGCTATAAATGGTGTAGATGATCTCCAGGCCTCCAGGCACTGAAGATGTGTCACTGGTAGGATACCCATGTTCCTGTGGGTGGCCCTACATGCATGCACATATAGGTAGCACTAACTGTAATTAGGGGGTGAACAATAAAAACTAGGGGGTGAAAAGATGTGAAGTGTTGAGGTTCCTGAGCCTTACCACAGTGGGAAGGCATTGGCATTCCTAGTCATGAGAAAAAGAAAGGAAAGTACTGTTATAGGATGCCGGCAGGAGCCAGAACCATGAAGAAAAGTATATTTGTAAATATTTGTAGCTAGTTCTTTGTGGAAACAAAGCTCTGATTTATAGTATTTCCTGTTATCTCTGGTATGAATACTCTCACTATGATATTTATCTCCCCCTAATAATATTTTTTTGGTGAAAAAAAGAACACAAAGAAACAATGCTGAGTGCCTGGTTTTGAGTCCCAGTATGACGCTGCTGAAACCCAGAGTGGTACAGATGTGTGCACATCAGCTTTTACAAGTTGCAATGAACTGACTCCCCACACTGAGGCCACTCAACAGGAGATAGACCAGGCCCTATTCATGTCTTCAATAGTGAGGAAGCGATGAAGAAATGTCCAACTATTCTCTCTCCTGTCATCAAGTTTCTTCCAGTTGAACCAAACAACAGACAGTAGACTAAGGAGCCCAGGCTACTCTGTAGACAAATGTCACTCTCCCAGGTTACAGACCATGGCAATGGAGAATGGGACAGTGGGACCATCACAAGGCTCCCCTGGGAAGTAGAAAGCTTTCTTTCTACAGCAGCTGCTGGCTACTGCCAGAAAGGAGGCCCTTTATCAACTGAGTGTGATAGAGGAGGGTCATTTGTCTATCTGTTGCTTTCATTGGTTAATTAATAAAGGAACTGCTTGGCCTTTGATAGGACAGAAAATTAGGTAGGCGAAGTAGACCGAACAGAATGCTGGGAGAAAGAAGCCGAGTCAGGCAGTCGCCATGATTCTCCTCTCCTAGGCAGATGTAGGTTAAGATCTTCCGGTAAGCCACCATCTCATGGTGCTACACACATTAATAGAGATGGGTTAATCAAGATGTGAGAATTAGCCAGTAAGAGGCTAGAACTAATGAGCCAAGCAGTGTTTAAAAAAATACAGTTTCCGTGTAATTATTTCAGGTAAAGCTAGCCGGGTGGCGGGACGTGGCCCGCCGCTCCTCCACACTACATGAGTGTAAAATAATAATAGTCTGGGGAGCATACTTAAAGCTCATGCAGATTTGTTCTTCGGATCCCCCAGAGGTTAACGCTTTTTGCCAGATGAGAGAATTCATGTAGGCATAAGCATCTTAAACAAGGCTTGCTGTGGAATTCGTGTAGGTATAAGCATCTTAAACGAGGCTTTCTGTGGCTTTCTAATACAAATGCTCTCTGAACAACTTCTGAAAAATCCCGACCCAGAGAACATGAGGACTACACATGACTGTTTGCTCCAGGGCTTAAGCTGAAGTTTCAGACTCATTAGTCTCTGCTAGTTGGCATGGCCTTTCGTGCTAGTCAAGGAAAATAATGTGTGCCATGCAAATGCAGACAACAAATCAGACAAAACAATAAAGCAGACAATAGCAACAGAAGGGCTATTTGGGTACCTTTCATTATATGATTAATCTGTTCTAACACTCTGCTCTTGAGAAGTTAAGTAATAACACATAGTAATAGCCTGGCATGATGGGGCACACTCGAAATATCCTTTTTTGGAAGGTAGAAGCAGGAGGGTCAGGAATTCAAAGTAACTCTCAGCTACAAGGAAAATTCAAGGCCAAACTGAGCTACATGAGACCTTGTGTCAAAAAAAAAATACCCCCCGCAAAAAAAAAACAAAAACAAGAAGTCATATAGTATTATAGCATAGATTATATATTTTTTTTCATATGACACACTTTCAGAAGGGACAGAATGTTGGCATCTCTCAGAATTAATTTTATATTATTGCCTGTGATGTTATGTTCTGAGTTTACTAGGTCCCTGGGATAGTTGAAGTTAATTAGCAAATTCTCTTTGTTTTAGATCAATGACCAATCACTTGTATTTGAAATGAGGTTGTCACTGAGGAATATCAATCTTGGCTGATCTCTGTGGTGACTCAGCTTCTTTTTCAGAACATATTAGGTGGCCTCTATGGCATGTTCCCCATGTCATTTCCAGAGACCAGCATAGTGCCAAATTTCCACTGCTAGAAAGTATAAAGAGTATAACCTGTAGAGTCTAACAGTTGGGGGTTTTAACCCTGGTTCTATCGCTTACTGGGACATGGGTGATTAATTATCGCTATCTGGCCTATTTTCATGACTAGGAAGGCAAGCAGTATGTAATTTGCAGTACCTTAGTAGTGTGATAAAGACAAAAGGATGTGCTAGGCGGTGGTGGCACACGCCTTTAATCGCAGCACTCTGGAGGCAGAGGCAGGAGGATCTCTGTGAGTTCGAGGCCAACCTGGTCTACAGAGCGAGTTCCAGGACAGGCTCCAAAGCTACAGAGAAATCCCGCCTAGAAAAACAAACAAACAAAGAATAGACAAAAAGATGCGTGTAATGTACCTAATGTTGACCTTGACTTTTAACTGATGCTTCATAACTCCACATTCAGACCAACAGACAGACGTACTTTACCTGTTTGGAAGCAAACAGCTTGCCTTGGTATTTATTAATCACAGTGTAGCCTCCTGGCACTTGACGATCTTCATACCAGGCAACAGGGATCAAGAAATCACGAGGATTGGCCAAGCCGTTTGCTCCTAGAACACAGTAATCCAAACTCAATTTAGATATTTCCAGAGTCAAAGGGAAGATGCCTGCAAAAGGGAAGGCCTTCTTCTGTGTCAAGAATCATTCCACAAATTATCATCAAAATCCTTGCTGTATTCCCAGCCGGGGCGATGGCTGAGTGCCTGCCTGCCCGGCAATGTGAGCCCCTAGGTTCAATCCCAGACAAAACAGAATCTGCTGGATCTCAGTCTGGTAGATTTGCAGAAAGATCCAAGAGTTTTGGTTGAAAAACAGAAAATTTCAAAAATCCTCATATGCAGCATTGTTTTCTAAAGTTGGAGAGTGATTACGGCTCATTTGTTATTTTTATAATCATCACATCATTATTCATTTACCACAGGTGAGAGAAAGGGCGAGGGAGGAACCAGAGAGGAGGAGGGGGCAAGAGTTGAGAGAACAGCAGCAGATCTCTGTCCAAGGAAGCCTGGAGACTCTTTCCAACACAGGCTTAGACCTTGATCTCTTAGAAAAAGGCTACAAGCTATTGTCCCAGGCCGGCTTCTGCCGGGTAGATAGAACTCAAAAGCCAGGATTATAAAGCTGCTGTCCAGCATGAAATATATGTGCCTGCCATTCAGAGAGGATGAATTGAGGACCTGCCTGTTTAGCTTTGCGCAGGAGGGAGTGTTCCCTCTGGAGAAAGGAAATAAATCAAAAGACAAAATATGAAAAAGCGTAAGCGCAAAAACATAATTTAACTCAGAGAGGAGAGGCCTGGGGAGTGTTTTATCATTTCCAGCTCCTGGGGTTAAAAAAAAAAAAAAAGAGCCCCCAGCTGGTTAGTAAATTATATATATTTTCCAGAGGGAACATGCTCTGTGGAACCTGAAGGCTCAGCTGCCTGTACAGCAGCAGGAAGCTAGACCACAGTGGGAAGAGTGGGTGGCAGGCAGGATGACAGACGGCCCACCATGGCTCCAGCTGCCTCTCTGCTGCCTCCCACTTTCCTCTGAATATTTGGTTCCCCAGGGGAGTGACCAGAAGGCACAGGCTGGCCTGTCCTTGTTGCTCTGAAAAGCTGTTGACACAGAAGGAAAGAACTGGGAGGTACGGCTCAGGATGAAACTAGGGGCCAAATTCCCGGGCTCCTTTTTTTTTCTCCAAGGGAGGCTGGAGAACAATTACTCCTAAGATCTTCCCTCCCCTTCCCGCATCCCCTGCCTTCAGGGGCTGGAAGAGCAGGGGCAGAGAGAGCAGGAAGTTTTAATCTACCACCTAGGGGCTGTTGTTTCTAGCTCCTTCATAGCGTGAAGTGACACACTCATTGAGTGTGCTGTGTGTGTAGATTTCGTGAGTGTGCTCAGAAGGAATGTGAGATGCTCAAAGGTCACGTGTCACCCAGTCCGGTCCATTGTTCCGTGGGACTAGAACCCAGGCCGGCCATTTTTACAGCTCACCGACTTCAGAAAGCAATTCTTCACGAAGCTCATTCTCATTAGCTTGTTTTTGCTTAAGTAGTTCCCTTCCCTCTTCTCTTTAATGTGCCAACAAAAATTAATCAAATCTCAGGGCTGGGGAGGATGTAGCTCAGTGCTTGCCTCGCATGCCTGAAGCCCTGGGTTCAGTCCTCTGGACTGCACGGTACTGGCATGGTGGTGAACGCCTACAATCTCAGTACTCGGGAAGGAGGGGCAGTAGGATTAGAGGTTAAACGTCGTTCTCATCCATGTAGAGAGTTAGATCAGCCTGTCATATAAGAGACCCTGACTTACAAAATACAAAACAAAACAAACGAACAACAACAACAACAACAACAAAACCAAAAGAACAAAACCCAAAAGAATATACTCAAAATCTCAGATCTCATTCTTGGTAGCTCTTCTTGGGATCCCCTCGGTGTCCTTTGAAATATATAGTATCTAACCAGAAGCTCATTACATGCCTTTACCCTCCTTGTTCGGTGGTGTTATTTTAGAGAAACTTAGAGTAGATTGGTTTGGGTCATTTTCTGTTATCCGTGCATTTTATAGGGAGGCACTTGGTCTGAGGCGGTTGTCTGGAGAGAGAAGGTGTGTGAGTGGAGAGAGATGCATCTATCTCAAGGGAGGCTTAGACGGAAGGCTTACCAATGGGTCCCAGGTCAGGTAACTCAAAGTGGACACCGTAGACCTCCAGGATGTAGCCCCTGGTCTCCTCGAAGACATCGACGCTGAATCGCATTCCTCTCTGGGGGACAGAAGCACATGCGTGCCTTCTTAATAAATCATTTCCTTGCAGTTAGACGCAGGGAAAGTGGCTGTGGTGCCAGGCCTGTTGTTGTGGTCAGTTTGAATCTAATTGGCCCCCATAATCTCATAGGGAGGGCTGCTGTTAGGAGGCGTGGCTTTGTTGGAGTGGGTGTGGTCTTGTCAGAGGAAGTGTGTCACTGTGGGGGGTGGGTTTTGAGGTTTCCTATGCTTAGGATACCACCCAGTGTCTCCGTCAACTTTCGGTTGCCTTCCGGTCAAGACGCAGCCGGTACCATATCTGTTTGCACGCTACCATGCTCCCTGCTACCCACCACGCTCTTTGCCATGATGATAATGGACTGAACCTCTGAAACTGTAAGCGAGACCATGGTGTCTTCTGACAGCAGTAGAAACCCTAACCAAGACAGTTGTGAAAGGTGAGCAGATTAAAGATGGGTTACAAAGAAAAAGCTAATTCTTAATCATACCCACACTAACCTCTCATTGGGTCCAAAAATAACAGCAGCTTCCAATTAGCCAAAAGAAAAAAAAAATTTTTTTTTTTGGAATACCTGCACCATCTCCTTCTCTGATACAGCATCAAGCAGACAACAAACATTTAGGGAAGGGGAGGGATAAACATTCTTTGCTTTGGGATTGTGTGCTCTATTAAACAAAGCAGGCACTGGGCCGCTCACCCCGAAGCCTCTGTGTGACTCACATTCCTCCCTGTTGCCCAGACATGACAGAGACATTGTAGCGTTAGAAATAGCGGCAGCTGAAACATCTGATGGCTCCCGAATTAGGGAGAGGCAGCGGGGAGGGGGCTCATTACCAACCTGAATGACGCAGATCTCGTTGGGCTGCAGGAGCATCTTGCCAAACTCTGTGTAAATGAGAAGCTTCCCTTTCTGGGGAACTGGCAACGGAGAAAAAGAAGACAGTGCAGGGGTGAGCCGCCCTGTTCAAGGGAGAACCTGAAGGCTTAAGGGCCGGAGTTGGTTGTTAGTGCGAATGAGGAGGCCTTTATTGTGTCTCTTGGGAGTGAGTTACATTCTGACAGTGTCGGTTAACTGTTTTACTGTCTAGACGGTCTGGAAAGTTCTTCAAAATCTCAGTCTTCCCTCCCACCACGACCCCTATAGAGGAGCTTGTATATTTGCATTTTTGTGAACTGATCCAAAAGGGTCATAGACATAGCATAGAAAATCACTCTTTTCTGACATGTCAGTGGGAATGCTGGGCCTCTACATGTCTCCCGACTACATGAAAATGTTCACACCCCAATACTGATGCTAACACCACCATGGAAAGACCAGAATAACCTCTGATGGGCCTTAACATTATAGATGTTATATATACTTTTTTTTTTTTATCTGAGTGGTGGTTATCGATGACAAATGGGCTTTCCTTGGGTGAGTTTAAAAGCAAATAGAATTTTCCTAATAAGTTAGCCATACGTTATTAACTTCATTTCAGCTGCCAACATCTCCCACGTGAGAGACGCCCAGCAGAGACAGCCACAGGCAGAAAGCCCAGAGCAGACATTAGACACTTGGAAGATGCTAGGAATCTTTTCCAGACCACCCGCGGTGTCTGGAGATGGCACTTTGTTTAATAAAACAGTTGGGAGAACGCAGGCAAGTGAAATGCGAAACAACAATAATAATAACAACAACAAACCCTGAGCGCAGGGCTCAGTCGGTCTTCCTACTCAGGAACTTACCAATCAGGAAATCCCCATCCGAATTGTAAAAGCATCTGAAAGAGACAGAGGACTTCCTGTGATTTCTTTTCAGTTTTAACACAATCTGGACACATCTATTCCTTCCACAAATTATAATTTAGTGCCTTCCACGGGAGAGAAGCCCCCTTGCTCAGTTAAAAATCCAGCAGAGTGCAACAGGAAAGACAGATTGCGGACCTCCATCACTGCGAGGCACACTGATGCTGGGAAGAACTGGGGCCCTGCGCTGGTTTGGGGAGAAAGCAAAGGCCTCCCCACAGATGGGACATCTGACAAGAGAGCCAACAGCATCATTTCGGCAAGAGAAGACACTCCAGGCAAAAGGAGAAGCAGGCTTAGGTACAATGGGGCAAGAAGGCCTTCTTGAGAGAACTAAAGGGAGGCCGTTGTGACGTAAGCGGAGAGAAGGGAGGTGACCTGATACAGAGCTAGACCCAAAGAGAGGTCTCCAGCGTCTCACAGGGCTGTGATCTTGGTTTTGATTCATGATTCAAAAAGTAGAACAGCTGGAGCAGAAGAGATGGCTCAGCAGTTACAAGCATTTATTTCTCTTCGAGAGGACCCACGTTCTATTCCTAGCAATTCCACGGTGGCTCACAACTGTCCCTATCTCCTGTGCCGGGGGGTTCAACACCCTCTTCTAACCTCCACAGGCACCAGGCACATATGGTGCAGGCAAGACACCGAGACACATAAAATAAAATAAAAATAAAGACAATTTTTTAAAGATTTGAAGAGCTCACGCAAATTCGATAAGTCAGCAAGATGAGATTTAGGCTTCAGGCACAATGGTGTAGTTCTAGGGTTGTGTGGAAAGCTGCCACGATAGTCTCCTTTCCAAAGAAAAGGTAGAAATGCCATTTACTTTTTCAAATTGAAAAGAAAGCAGACTATAGGGGCCGGTAAAATAGCCCAGCAGGTAAAGGCACCTGCCACCAAGGCTGAGTATCTGAGTTTGAAACCTGGGACCACATGGCGGAAGAAAAGAAGGGACTCCCCCCGCCATTGTCCCCAAGTTGTCTTCTGCACACATGTGTTATGACATGTACCCTCCTGTACAAAAACAACAGGGAAACTTCTATGTGCAGGAACACTGAGCTTCCACAGAGCTACCAGTCATCAGCTAGCGCGGATACTTTGCCTTCACAACTGCTCTTGCCATGTGATTTTGGACGTGAGCCCTATAGTGTGGTGGTATATTATTTTCACTATGTAAAGATGTTTTATAATTGTATATGCTATGAATATTTCTTTAACTGTGTAAAGGTATGTTACATTTGTTGATTATGCTGTATTTGTTTAACGATATAAAGATATGTGATTAATTATATAAAAATGTATTGCATTTGTTTCACGTTGCTTGCACAAGGCACCTGATTGGTCTAATAAAGAGCTGAACAGCCGATAACTAGGCAGAGAAAGGATAGGAGGGGCAGAAAGCCAGGCAGCAGTCAGACAGACAGACATTAGAAGCAGTGAAAGTAAAATATACAGAAGGAGAAAAAAAAGGTAAAAAGTTCCAAGACAAAAGGTAAATTAAAAAAAAAAAGTTAGTTTAAGTTAAAAGAGTTAGTCAAAAAACATGCCTAAGCTAGGCCAAACATTCAAAACTAATAAGTCCCTATGTTATGATCTGGAACCTGGTTGTTGGCCCAAAAGGAAAATACTAGGGAATCTTAAAAATTAAAATTTAAATTAGTTCTACTTACTTGAACTTCTTCATCACATGGTCCTAACCTCTCCTTTCTGCCTACGCTGTTACAAGACATTTTTGTCTATGTCTTAAGAGCCAGTCAAAATAGAGATTCGTATTTGATATCATTATCAAGAAACACATACCGACATTTCTTCGAGAGGGGAACAAGTACCAAGGGGCAGTGTTTGTGCATGTGGGACTCTTTTAGGCCTCCACTCTCTGGCCAACAGGCCCCCAGTGATGGGTCTATCATGCCCCAGCCCTGAGCCTCTTACCTGTCCTCCATGGAGGTGTTACACAGGAAAATGTGAATAGCAAGCCCGTTGTTAGACTTGATGTCTCCAGCTCCACACAAGGTGTGCAGCCCCTGAGAGAGCAGAGGAGAAGGGGGAGTGAATAAAAGACCAGCCCTCCCCCTGGCCCCTGAGAGAATGTCCCAGGAGGCATTGGGAGCTAGGCTGACTGAAATGTCTTGACTTATACTTGGTGGGCTGTGTCCCATCCTAGATCCTAGGCAACCTTGTCTGAAGCCATAATGGCCAAGTCAGATAAACTTACAGAACGTACATTTGATTATCACTATGATAAACCCGGAGGAATGAGGTAGTACCTGGTAGAAGTTTTCAGGGAGAGGATCTGAAGCTTCCCTTGACATTTAGTGCCCCTCAAGTCTACCCCATCCTGGGGCAGTCTCTCTTGTGGAGAAAGCCTGGCTACTCTTCCCAGAGCAGAGCAGAGAAGAGTAGACCTTGTGACTAACTGCAAGTCCTTTTGCTATAGGACCAGATGACCCACAGTGCAAGAAGCCCTGACACTGAGGGGGGTGTGTGTGTGGGGGTTGACTTCTAACTCCGCTCTGCCCCCAAAATGAAGGTAGGGAGCCAAAACAGAGAGGGTTCTGCTCCTCAGATCCCCATAGACAGGAAGGGAACTTGTTTTTCTAGTGTTACTTAACTGATAAGTTTGAGATCTACTAAAGTGCGTCCTCACAAGCCTCGGGGACACTTCTAAGGATAAAAGCTTCAAGATGATTGATACAGTTTGGGCTAACACGGGGCACCTGGAGTTTCCCTAAGGAAGACTCGAGCCAAGTTGGCCTGCAGAACCCTCCTCTGCCCTCCTGGAGCACTGCCCCCCCCCCAGCTCCTGTCCCTTCTCCCACACACTCCTTGCTGTGGGTGCAGGTGTCCCCGTACTGTGGAGGAGGGCGGCCAGTTGGCACTGTACTTATCAGTTAGCCACCTGAGTTGATGTCATCTTAGCCCTGGCATCCATTTCAGGGATTTCAAGTTCTCAGATGGGAACATAGTTTGTCCTTATTTTTTACTATCCGAGTGGAATTTATCATCTCCTTCAAACATTATGAACGCAGGCAGCAAACCGCAGCAGTCCCGGAAGTGCTGTCACTTCGGCAATGACAGGGACATTTTTATAGCCTTCATTACAGGCGTCTCAAAGCGTCATTTGGGCTCATATTACAGTGAGCGGATTTCCCCCATAGGCCTTATGATCTAGTACATTAACTAGGAGGCGTGTGTGCAACTATAAAACAAATACTATTTATTTTCTTGAAATATTTTTACCATTGCATTTCAATGTAATTGTCCGTGTAATTTGATGTAGTTTATATTACCCAGCCAAATAACACAGGTTATGCCAGGCATAGTGGCTCATAGCAGTAATCCCAGCTCCTGGGACTGAAGGAAGGTGACTGTTGTGAGTTCAAGGCCAGCCTGAGCGACAGGGGGAGATCCTGTCTCAACCAAACCAACCAACCAGCCAAACAAACAAACAAAACCCTCAAATCCCCAAATTAAAGGCGACAACAAAATAAATACATTAAAAAAAAAAAAAAACCCAGGTGTCACCAGACCATCAAAGGCGCTATGAACCAGAAAGGCTACGAATGCCCGTTCTGACGCAAAGAAGAAGTGCTGGAGAGAGGAAATTTTACTCTCCTTGGCCTTTCTGTGAGGTCAAATACGCCTGGGTGCTCTGTGGTGTCAGAAGCCATATGGCGCCTGTAACTAAGACATCCCTCAGCCAGCCCCCATGCTACACACAGGTGTCTCTGCTGCCTCTGGTTCAGGCTGCTCTGCTTGGCATCCCGACAGCAGATGGTTAGCTGGCTCACCGCAGGACACAGGAGGGCAGCGGGAAGGCTTGGAGAAGATCCACTTACGCTCACAAAGTCCACTTTCTTCTGAGACGTTTTTGGAATCTCGAACGGTTTCCATCTAAGCTGGAAAAAGAAATACCCACACAGGAAAATGACTTCACAGGGAGAGACCGTAGGCTTATTAAATAGATTCAATCCACAGAGAAGAAAAGGACAACTGCTCCCCCTGCGAGGTCCTGGCCATTTGTGATTTTGTTTTGTTGGAACTAATGATTAACCATCATTTCTTTAAAGGGGCTCTCTCTCTCTCTCTCTCTCTCTCTCTCTCTCTCTCGCTCTCTCTTTCTCTCTCTCGTGTGTCCTTGCACGCATGCACTCACACTCACACACACACATACACACATACTCTGTAGGGTGTATATCTCTATGTATATACTATAGGGGTGGTGTGTCTATATGTGCACTGTAGGGGGTGTGTACCCCTCTCTTGCTGTGTGTGTATGCTCTGTAGGGGTGTATGTCTTGTGTGTATGTGCTATTAGGGTGTGTGTTTCTGTGTGTGTGTTGAAGGTGTATGTGTGTGTGCGTGAATGCTGTAGGCCTCTGTACCTTTCTCTCGGTGTGATGTTGGGGTGTGTATATTTAATATGAATATAAAGTGCCTTTGTTCCTTAGTGCTTTCAATTATAAAAATAAAGAGAAGCCGTCGTTCCCTCTCTCGGAAGGTGTTTCTTTTAACATTTCGCTCAGGCACATCTGTGAGTTTTGACTGATGCCGCTTTCATGCTATTTATAATCGGCTCCCTTTCCTGGCACGCCAGCCTCTCTGTGTGGGCTCCTGACACTGCAGGGGAAGGTTCTACTTCTACTTCCAGCCCTTGCAGTTTTGAATTATTTCCTTAAGAGAGAGAAGAATGCATCCAGCTGAGACTGGATTTGGTAAATGTAGCGCCCGGTTCAATTTCTTCCCCAAACCTTGGGTTTGTCCCCAGGCTGCCCAATGGTTCCCTTTAAATCACAATCATCTTTAATTCAATAATGAACTGATCTAAGGGAGTGGGGGGAAAGACCAACAGGTGCCGGTCACTCTCAAAGCATCAGCGCGGTGTTTATGAATCAATGCAGACAGGCCTGCTGCAGCCAGGCTGCGAGCTCATCTGCCCAGTAGCCCCAGGGCATGTCTTCCGGAGTGACCTGCACCCTGGGGCTAGCTCCATTGGCTGCTACACTTGGTGAAAACTGAATGCGCAAGGGCTCCATCAAGGTCCTGGGCTCTGTTCATTCTGTATTGCGAGAAGGCAGCCATGCAGGAAAGGGAGCATCAATGGGAAAGGGGCTGCTGGGATTATCCTGCCTCTGATCCCTGCAGTCAGGCAGCTTCCACCATTTCTTAAAAGCAAAGGGAACGATGAGATTCCGGGACCACTTCAAAGGGATGCAAAATGCGGGTCTGAAAAAGACCGTTGAAATTGTGCCTTAGAATTAGGATGCGGGAAATACTCCAGGGCCGGTTCCAGTCATGATGGTACTTCTTGGGACACGGGGGAACCCAAAGAGTAAGGATCTAGCAGGGGCTTTCAACCATTGGCATGTGAAGGCATCTTTGTTGTAGAGCTGCCCTGTGCACAGAGAGATGCTTAGCACTGCCCCTGGCCCCTGCCCACCAGATTCCAGTCGCATTCCTCCAAGTTGTAGCCACCCCAAATAGGGCCATTGTTAAAGCATCCCTTTAAGTCAAATATCCTGCTGAGAATTTCAGACCTAGAAGAAAATTTCCTTGACTTCGGGAAGGGCTATAGCTGAGCACCGAGCTTGTAGGATGGTGGTGGGTGCTGGGGACCAAACTCAGAACCCCGTGTTTGTTCAACACATGCTCTCCCCCTGAGCGGCGCCCCCACCCACGCACTGCTGTAGCTCTAAGGGGTGACCGTGGCCCACTACTGGCCACTGGCTACCTCCTCCCTCTCTCTGGCAGCAGTGGAGGAAAATCACCTGGAAAAGAGTCATCACCATAGATTTCCCAGAGGAAGATATTTAAGTAGCCGATCAATCGTTGCCCTGGCAACCATTCAGTACTAACCAGAGATTCTCAACCCTGGATACCCATGAGAATCAGCTGGACAGCCTTTGAAACCGTGGCCAAATTAAATCAGAACCCCTGGAAGTGGGACCCAGGCATCAGCATTTTATAGACATTCTTCTATGTGCAGCTAACCCGCACTCAGAGATTCGGTGACTACTGGGTTGCTGAGCCAAACATGCTTAGAAAAGCCTACCCAATCAAGAGGTAAGCCATAGAGCTAAACCAAATAAATCATGACATCTCAAGCTAGATGTGGTGATGGTAATGCCAGCTTCCAGATAGCAGCAAGATTTAAATAATACAAGCTCAAGAGTTAGCAAATCCAAGGAAAAAGAAGAGATGGGCAGGGAATATGAAGGAAGGAGAGATGATATATATATGTATATATGTGTAATTCTATGTAACATAGTTATAAACATATAAAATGTTTTAGAATATATATGGAGAGAGAGAAAGGGAGAGCATGGGGTGCGGGGAGACAGCGCAGTAGCCAGTGAATTGCTGCTGGCTACCTGGATGTTGTACTAGGATACCCATATAATCTCTCTAAAGGTCGAATATCTGCAGCGGGTAGAAATGAAGCCCGACCGCACAGAAAAGAGGCTCTTCCGTGAGTGGGGAAGACCGAACACAGGCTGATGGGTTGGCAAGGTCCGCTGTGGACTTTTCTCAAGTCTCCAGTAGCACTGCAATTCTCCAGCCACAAGGAGAGAGGGGCTGAGGTGGTGGGTGAAAATGCAGCCGTGTGCTGCTATAGGAAGCCTGCCATCAAAGGGTCTACATTCCAGATGGAGGAAGTCGTGGCACCCATGAGCCTTTCTTCACTAATGTAAAAAATGATCGCCTTCAAATGACAGATGCTACAGAGAGAAAGATAATGTATCTATTGGGTCTGATGGCAGTAGATTGTACAGAGCTGTATCATGAGGAATAATAAAGATCCTGATGTTGTTCTGATAAGACCTGGACCACAGGAGGAATTCAACTTTGGATCTTCAGGCAAGAGGTTTTAGTCAGGAGACCCGACGTGATGTTTTAGTGACTGTGAAGAGGGGTGGACAGAAATGCCCTTGGAGTATAGAACAGAACATTCCCTGCTGAGGCCAGAAGCTCAGCCTACTGCATTTGCTGCAGAGCAGACGCTGCGGTAAACCCAGGCCAAGAGGACTGTGCATGGGGCAAACAGGAAGATTTGGCTTCTGCTGCTGCCTCTGTGGACAAATCATTTTCCCTGTTTGGATTGCTTTCCTTATACATCACAGTGGGGCTATGGAAGGGACTAGAATTCCAAGAGGCCTTATAGAAGAGCATCTGACAACGGACTTCATGACTGGTAAAAACTCTTTGGTTTGAGCTGGTACCTCCTCCAACCCCACGCAATACCAGTTCATATACTGAAGCTCTAGCCTCCAGTGAGACTGCCTGGGAGGTGAGGCCTTTAAGTGGTAAATAAGATCAAATTAGACAATATGATGTAGGAGTGTCAGACTATGAAGAATTAGAATCCAGGCACTTGGGAGACCGAGGCAGGAGAACTGAAGGTTTTACAGCCTGGGATATATACAAAGATCTTTTTTTTTTTTTAAAGCAATAATAGCAAAATAAAGCCCGGAGTACTAAACTAAAATAATTATAGATTATTTAGTTTCCAACTTCTAGTCTGAGGAAAGGCTGTGTGGAGACAAAAGGGAAGATGGCCTGGTAAAAAAGAAGCTGGGCAGTGGTGGTGCACACCTTTAATCCCAGCGCTTGGGAGGCAGAGACAGGCGGATCTCTGTGAGTTCAAGACCATTCTGGTCTACAAAGTGAGTTCTAGGACATCCAAGACTATACAAAGAAAACCTGCCTAAAAACAAAGTAAAGAAGAAAGCCATTAACAGACATCACCCCTTCTCAGACCTTGTTATTAGACTCCCAGCCTCCAACCCTAGAGGGTATTGTTCCTGTTATTTAAGTGGCCCAGCCAATGACATAATATAATGCTATAGTTTCACAACCATTTTTTTTCACACTATGTATAACCACTGAATAGCTCTTTCCTTATGGAATTTAGTTGTCTTTCAAAAGCAATGGAATAGCTTATAGTCTCTGATATGATATCTGGGCTTTAGTATGTTTGAGTGCATACTTATTGAAAGGTATAAACATGAAGAACATTGCTTATAAAAGTCCAAATTTATTCCCAATGTGTGGGTCAGTCCCTCACACGTGTACAAACTTGCTCAACCACTCTGATTGGCTGTCCAGTGGTTCTGCCAACTACTGAGAGAGGGATGTTGAAGTCCCAACCACGACTTGGCTTCCTACATTTGTTTCCTTCAGGACTATCAGGACGTCACATAGTTTGCTTTTCATTTGTGCAAATTCCGTTGGAGAATAAACTTTTATTCATGAAAACTGAGGTGGTAAAAGAGTTTGAAAAGCATTTCCAAGAATGCTCAACGTTTGAACAAAAAATTCTTTAACACTTTCAAAGGAGGGCGATGAGAGGACCCCTGTTAACATTTAATGAAGGAGATTCAAAAGTCATGCCCAAGATGAAAAGGAAACAAAGGGAAGCAGCCTCAATATGTCTGAAGTTAGTGGACTCAAGTTTGCCTGGGTGATATGAAAATCCCTTTCAAGACTTAGATCCCTTCATTCACTGACTCCACCCCAAACTTCCACGGACTCAACTCCACTGAGTGACCTGGGTTCTCTTCACATGGGTTGGCTAGAGGCAGACATGTTATTCCAAGCCAGTAACACCCATCCAAGAACTTTGAAGTAACTTGTGGGTTACTCTCACATTAAAGCACAGACATAATGCTTAAGCCAGTGCCAGCTGCAGCCGTGGTTGGAGGAGGTTCAGGATAATCAGTAATGTTGACTTTTAGACCGAGGAGGGAAGAGGGGGTGGAGGAAATAAAGAGTGACTCACAGAAGTCTTCGGCAAACCTATCAATCTCGGGAGAAAAGGAACTATAATTTATGTGGAGAGAGACAAGACTATCACTTGCACTGGATATCTTTGGAGCCATGGGCAAGAGCACAGATTAAA